GTTAATCAAGCTGCATTGGAATAGCAGGGTATTATGGGTATTTTCAACACTGTGAATCATTCAGCCCAGTGGTACGGCGCATCCAACTCAAACACGGCTCATATGTCTTATTAGCTCTTAATATTACACACTTTTATCAATCTTTATTGCATTGCCTGCTGTTTAACAGCTCTCTGAAATTACATACCCTCTGTATTGTTCGCTATAATATAATATCTAAACGCTGCCATGGGGTCAGAGTGTTTATTTTGACACCGTCCTTCAGACCGAGGGGAAGTGAAGCACCGTGCCAGGAAATATGAATGAAAAGGGGTCCCGTCGAGTGTAAAAAAGCTGTTTTTTAAAGAGCTTTCCACCATTTTTTTTTCAATGTAGCGACGGCTTTGATAGGCCGCAGACGTATTTTCACGAATGAAAGTGTCAAGTATTAAGGTGCCTTGTAAATCACTCTCTCTCTCTCTTGCTCTCGCTCGCTGCTCCGCTCTTTTCTTAGCCTTTCCGAGAGGTTTGGAAGAGCAGCATGATTGCTTACAGTCCTGGCCCTCCCTGTCAGTACGCGTGCCTAAATCAACAGCAGCCCTGCTATTTTAGAGCATATAAGAAATTTTTAAGGTTATAATGGGACTGTAAAACGGAAACCTGCTATATAATGTGATTGACGGCCGAGGCTCAGACGGTGGTGGTGTAATGGCGTGCGTTCAGAAAGGATGACAATATTATTTCAATCAGCGTGTGTGCATGAGTGTGTGGGTGTGTGTGTGTGTGGTTTTTGTAGGACCCTGTTAATCAAACAGTGGATGTAATTGTGGTTTCGGTTCCATAGAATCAGTGGAACGTGGGGCAGAAGAGGAAAAGATGGTCTGCAGGATGAGGTAGGTCCATAACAAAGATTTTCCTCGTTTTAAAAAACACATAATGGGGGAAAAATAACTTTTTTCCAATCTTAAAATCCAACTAATTACCTTAACTTTTCCTCCACCGTCCATGACACGAGCCAAACGACACGCCGTTGGCACCCCTGAAGGCACATTCGAGATTTCCTGCTCACCTCATTCAGAGGTGTTGTTAAATCACATCCAGTGGCTGCCTGAAACGCCAAAGAGAAAGAAGATCCCATTGAGTCTGGTAGAAAACGTTTATTCGTCTGGTCTTTCTTGTATTTATTTACTGCATCTCTTTTATCTTTTTCAACAGAGTATTAAAAAAACTTGTAAAAATGATACAAAATAAGCCAACAACATCTAGGTTGAAATATTGTTCATCGAATCTATCATATCTGGAATAAATGGCGAAAAGGAATAGTGGGTAATAACAAATAACAAATAAAAAAAGCAGAATAACGAATATCCTCCTGACATGAAACTTTCTCATTTGTCTTTTGTGATTTGCAGCCTCTCTGCCAAGTGATCTCAGCAAAATGTGGTAAACAAGACTAATAGTCTCCAGCCATGAAGCTCTGCGAGGCAAAGCAGTGATTCGAGCTGTTAACGGCTACATGCTCTCGAAAACAATGATGATAGCTTTAGCAGGAGAAGTGTCTTATGACTCAAACAAACTTTCACATATCTTCATTTAAGAGCGAGAGGAATATCGGGGGGTTATCAAAGGCAGTGGGATACATCATCTGGAAACCATGAACATCTGTTTAAGTTAGTCCTGCCTACACAAATACACATACTAAGAGAGTTTACTAACTTTTGTATAAACTTTTACTTGCCAAAAACACACTGAAGAGAAATTAAAGGACTGCTGTATACAGTGGGATTTATCCTCAGGAGACCATAAATGTTAGAAAAAAACTTTTTTAGGGGCTGATTAGGTAAGAACTGAATTTTGTAATCATCCTTGGATAGTCTTTCTGCTGATCTAAGGATCTCCTTGGTCCAAAAGTGAAAAAACAATCTGTGTATCATAGTATATCCTGAGGGGAACATGAATGAATGTCACAATCAATGATGTAAATTTGGAGAAATTTTAGTCAATGCAACAAATATCCACAAATATCATTGTAGTTAAGTCGAAGGGGAGTTATCGAACACATTGGGATCTATCATCTGGAAACAATGAACATCTGTTTATAATAGTTCTGCCTACACAAATACACATACTAAGAAAGTTTAATGACATTTGTATAAAGTTTTACTTGCCAGAAACACTGAAGAGAAATTAAGGGGCTGCTGTCTTCAGGTGGGATTTATCCTCAGGAGACCATCAATGTTACACAAAGAAACAACTTTCTAGGGGGCAGATTAGGTGAGAACTGAGTTTTGTAAACATCCTCCAATAATTTTACTACTGTTCTAAGGATCCCTGAGATCCAAAAGTGAAAAAACAATCTGTGTATCACAGTTTATCCTGAGGGGAACATGAATGTATGTCACAATCCATAAGATAATTTTGGAGAAATTTCAGTGGATGCAACAAATATCCACAAATATCACTGTACTTAAGTCAAAGGAGGGTTATCAAACACATCGGGATACATCATCTGGAAACTATAATGTCTGTGTCTTGTCCAAACAACCAGATGTTTCAGTGATTTCTAAATAAGATTTGACTTTGCTGGAGATGTCCCCTGATAAATTAAGCGACCACTTAACTCACTGGGATTCGTCCTCTGGGGACCATTAAAGTTCGTGTAAATAGAGACTATAAATGTAGTTATCCACCCAGTCATTTTGAGTTATTTAAGTGTTGATAAACTAGGAGAATATAGGTCAGTGTCTTGCAGTGAGTAAGTAGGACCTGCATAAGTCATCCTGAGGGGAACATGAATATGTGTGATATATTTTTGGGTAATCCATTGTGTAAGTTCGCTAAAAAAATAAAATAAATAAACGAATTACACAAGTATTACTCCATTTTAGTGCTGGAGGAAAACTAAGGGGGTCAACAAAGGCATAAGGGTACATCATCTGGAAACCAAGAACGTCTGTAATTAGTCTTTGTTTGCCAAAACAGGAGGTAGGTACAAAATATTTTTCTTGTAACATTTTAATAAAGTTTGTGAAAAAAATGGAGGATCACTTAATCAATTGGGGTTCATCCTCTGTGGACCATGAATGTTAGCAGATGTACACATTCTGTTGATATCCATCTAATAACTACCAGGTTTTCCAGTCTTAGGAAAACATAGGTTAGTATCTTGCAGTAATCCGTGGATGCTAACAAGCTAACATTTGTTCTAGTAGTTAGAGGCTCACTTGTGTTGATGCGGTTCATCCCCAGAGGAACATCACTCTTGTCTGGTAAGTAAATCTGAAAGAAATCCAAAGTTTCAGTGAATAGTATGAAAAGTTTGGGTATCATCAAAGTGAATTAGATGCATCATCTGGAAACCATGAATGTATGTTTATAACTATTAATCCAAATGAGTGGATGGATATCAAGATATTTCCAATACTGTCTGAAGTTGTACATACTGAGAGCATTAGTGGAGAAATCAGGGGATTATTGAAGCCATTTGGTTCAGTCTCTGGGGACCATGAATTTTACTGGAATCACAGACTTTGAGGGGGAGACCAACCGGATTAAAATTTGAATAAAATTTGTTCATATGTGATTTGCTTTCTGGATCGCAGTGCTTGTTTACAGGGACCGTTTTGAATTATATCAGCCGAGGCGAGAGGAGTGCATGTGCATGTGCAACATCATGACATCATCTACAGTTTAGCCCGGGCTCTGCATGCGTACACACAACTCCGACAAAAAAAAAAAGGTTGACACACCACAGCAATGAACTGCAATGCCTTCACGACTGGGCAACAGAGATGCAACCTAACACAAACCATAATTGTCTATTTGTGGTTCTGCTTCAGGCAAACATGAACATAATACAAAAGCACACACACGATGTTTAGAGTTCCAGTAAGTTCCACAACCACAGCGTAAGCTCCAGGGGATACTGAGTTCCTCTTCGATGAACTTCTTCACTTTCTTTCCTGAATGACACACACACACACAAACACACACTGCTGCCTTTTTTTTCCTGGACATTGCTTCAGTCTTATACTATCTGTTTCCACAGCCGTGCGCCTGCTGACCCAAGAATGTGGCCAGCACTCCGGTACATTGTTTTACAAGGCTAAGCAGTGTATTTGAGATGTGAAATGTAGACTTTTGCTTGTTTTGTGGGACAAAACCCAAGCATGTGTGCGAGTTTGTGTTTGCGCTTGTGTGCTTGTGGGCTGAATTTGTTTTTAGAAGATGATCTGTGATATTCTTTGTTTTTTTTTCACTTTTGGCTGCGTCTTTGGTGAAATGTAGTCATCGCTGTTGTGATCTGCACGCATAGTGCTGTCAATACTCTCCGTCAGTCAGATACAGATGTAGACTGGTGTTTTATTTGTCTTTTTACATCACAAGTGTATCCAAAAGTGGCTCTGTTTCAGCTCAGTAAATTAAATGCAGAAAAACAGTCTGTTTGAGGATGTTTGATTGTCAGCGTCAAGTTGGGCTAAAAGTTTCATATTTAAAGTAATTTGTCGCGAAAGAGGGTTAGCTTACCTGTAGTATACAGAAGAATACATAAGTGATTGCGTAAACAGTGCTGTGTACAATCAAACTTTAATGAAATACTTGACTTTTACTTTAAAGCTCCTGTGAGTAATTTTCTATTTCTGTCCATTTTGGCGCCCCCTGTGGCCAGATTGGGTATGATGCAAACAAATTCTGTTTTTGCAGTCTACTTTGATTTACTTTTTTCGACACATAAAGGTCACACAACACGAACAACGCAATTATACAACGTGAAATTACGAAATATTCAGAGGCGAATTTTGACACGCCTGACTATAAGCGCGATGCGATTTTGCGACTTTCTGGGAGGAAAAAAGACACGTCCCGGGTGGAAGCAAGAAGACTGACACAACAGCGGACTGACTGTTTTTCAGTTCTGATTAGACACTAATGTTGAGATGGTTGTCTAACGTAGCTGTGACAGCAACGCGATTGAGTTTAAGACAGTGAAAATACATATGGTATGTTGTATCTGAACTTAGCACAGATGAAAGTTAAAACAAAGAGGTTTATCAAACTGTTAAAGCACACAAACCATCGTCATATGAGAAATCCGACGCTATGACTCTCCACAAGTTGTCCTTCAGGTCTTTATCTTTGTAATATTTGTGTCTTTTATCAAAAATCACTCTGTTCTCCGACACGTAAACAATCAGCTGGTCGGCCATGTTGGATATACCGGTGAATCTGACGTCGCAACAACACGCAATCTGATTGGTCAGAAGTGGACACACAGTATGCGAAACTTTAGAAAAATCAACTATTATCCGAAAAAATACATGCTGCAATATCGCAGGATGAGAAAACGTCACTGATTTGAACGCTTGTATTGACAGGACACAGGTTCAAAAAAAAATATTGACGTCTGAAATAATCGCACCAAAAAAACGCTCCCGGTGTGAAAGGACCTTACATGTAAAATAACTATATAAAGAAAGTCATTATTGTCCCTGATGGTCTCGTTTGCTTTTGTGGCTCATAGAAAAGCATGAGTAATAGTTTGGGCTTGTTTCAGAACTCGATAAAAACTCCCCACAGGAGCTTTAATAATCACGGGGTTCATCCTATTATGTATGAACGTGTCCGTCAGGGATGACTGGTTTTATTTTGAAGTTTAACAAAAATGAAGTTCCATGAAAATAAAACCATAAATGTGCTGCGTGAGTTATTTTATTTGGATGTTTTGCGAGAGCAGGCACCTCATTCATTAACCGTTTACTGGCATTTAAGATGAAAAACACGAATTCCCCTTCAGTGTCACCCTCCTGGAATAGAAATGAAGCCACACTTCTGTCTTTAATTACAGCCTGTGTCATCTGAAGACTTCTCAGAACTCCTCAAACTTCTTCCAACTCAGTGTGTTAGTTTGTTTTTACCACTCTTGACATAAGAGGGGGGTAAGTGTTTGTTCTGCTTATCCTGAACACTCTGTGACCTGTCCGTCAACCCTTGTTGCCATGGTAATCGGTAAGAAACCTTCGCCTATTATCTGCTTGCTCTTGAACACACGCCTGGATCGACGTTGTGCCACCACTCTTAAGAAATAAAAACACCTCAATAGCTCGGGGAGATTTGTGTGATGGGTTAATGGCGTGATAGTAAAAGTGCTGCAGAGGCGACATTGTTGAGTTCATGTTGGTTTATAGAGCGTGTGACCCTCCTGAAGGTTTTATAGTGATGGGTGTCTATCTACATATTCAGCTGGAAGGGGACGACAATGGGGGCTTCTGAAAAGAGGGAAAATCGTGTTTGAAATGAGATGTCACACTGATTCAAACACGGCGAGGCGAGCCTGAAAAGCAGAGGGCCGTGCTGCACAACCTGTTCCACACTTTGCCAGGCCAGCTAACAGAGATTGAGTGTCTCTCTATTCTGTGTGTAGGTGACGCGTCCCCTCAAGAATGTGCTTCTCTTCCTCTCTCCGTTCGCTTCAATTTCCCCTCTGCTTTGCTTACTTCACTCACACTGCCGAGAAGCCGTCGCTTGAGGAATCTGGAAAACACCAGCGGGGAATGAGAGGAATTTTCGCCTTTCCCCCCACCTCCTCCTCTCAACCACCACCACCACCACCGCTGGCCCCCTCTCCCCTTTCGCTCTCTTTACTTTGGATCTCTCCAGCTCAGCTAGGCTCTTGAGTTTTCTCTTGTTTCTGAATGTGGCCCAACAATAACAACCTCTCATAAACAATGGGGCTTGTTGATTGGGGGGTTGAGAGGGAGAGTGGCCGTTGCTGGCCCGTGCAGTTGGGTTTTGTTGGCAGGGAGCCTCATGAGGTCCAAAAGTAGAGGCTAGATCGGGGGCCGTGAAAGATTTAAGGGCAACTTTTAAAAAACGCACCATCTGAAGAACCATAAACACATGCTTTAGCTCTTTCTTAATCCATCTTTCCTCCAAACGGACTCTGACGGACCAAACTCTGGAAAGGGCTGCTGGTCAATGTCAGGAAACCACAAAAGTACAGGGAAAAATATGTACTTTTGGAATTCCCTGCTTTTACAGCACCCTTCGACTCGTAAAGGGAGTCTGGATCGCATCGAGGAGGTTTTTGAACAACCGTAGAGCTCTATCCCGTCTCATTCAGCCTATGGGCAAAACACAGCAAGAGTCACATGCCATTTAAAGAGCCGGGCAACAATTAAAGCCTGTGTCTGTGACAGGGAGATGATAATACAGAGTGATGTGTCCTGGAATAACTCTGTCCCCACTGTTTCCATTTTGGAAGAGGATACCGCACATTACTGGACATTGTCCCTCATCTGCTCAACCGTTTTTTAAGACTCTCATACCAGCTAAATCAAAATAAAATGTCAAAACAGATTCTTGTGAAGAGGACGGATAAACAAACCACTGTATTTTATTATAATTTCCCACAGGCTGCATACCAGAGCCAGGCTTTTGGAAATTCTTAAGTTTTTCCAAAATATCTAAAATGCACAAACAAAACTATCAAGCTTAAAGGCTTCAGGACAAAAGAGAAGACATGTAGCTCCCTCTAGTGGACAAAAAGAGAAAGAGGCAACATCATTTTCATGAGGTTTCTGAAGTAAATCATCCTTCAAAGAGTCATGTTGAATCACATTTTTTACTTTATTATAGGATTTCAAAGCATCATTTAACAAAAATAAAACAACTCACTCAAGCATTCACTCTTACACTCATTCATTCATAGGTGTTCTCTCTTCATCGTCTTCAGCAGCATCCTTTGACAGGATAAGGCCGTCACCGGTCGTCACTTGCCTGTAGGCCCGAATGGATCTGACCATACCTTCACACCTGCAGATACAAAAACAAACAACATATCAACACAATGTCCAAACTTCATGATACCTGCAACATCATGCCGCTCTTGTGGTGTGCTTTTTTCTGATTGGCTACCATAAAGGGTAGAGGCTGTTATATGTACTGTTGATGAAGTTAGGTGCTGTTCTGAGCATTATTTGTGGCTATAGAGTGGCGTTTTGGTTGAGGTTTGTTTATGGCTCCTCAGACTGCTGTGTATTGCTATCGTAGGGTCATTACTAGTTGGTATAACTAGAGGAGCAAGCGGTCAGCAACATTCATCTCTTGAAGGGGGTGTCTAACTTGGTGTTACGGTGTGTTTGGTCTTAAATTAATTTTACGCCGGAATATCCCTTTAAGACACAACTTTAACAGAGCTGGTGCAACAAGCTATAAAGCAGTTGCACACAATCCTGATCTACAAGTACAACAGCTGTGTTCCTGATTTATTCTAAATCATTATAATCATGTTTTATAAAAAAACTAAGTACTGGCTGAGCATGGCTTCCACACTGGATAATGTAGAGACTCTACTCAGCAGATCTACAGATAGATCTGATTGTAATTTGATTGTAGACCCCTTAAAATTTGGCAATAAACTCAAGAAACACAAAAGTTATGTCTAGTTATGTCTGCAATATATTAAAGGAAGCAGAAAATCAAATATATTTAAGATCAGTAGACTTAAATAATAGCTATGCTATCAATCTGCTCTGTGCGCTTACCCACAGGTTGGATGTCTGCCTGGTTGATTCCTGTTCGGTTCATCTTTTGGACATGTCCTAGCAGAGAGAGCCATACAGTGAATTCCAACGTTTTTAACAGTCAAATAAATTTATCTGATCTGATCTGAGGTTTTATGTTCTCCTTTGTATGTACTATTTATGGTGCTATGGGAGGAAAAAAAGGCTATCTTTAATCTCCTGCATGTCCTGCCTATTGCGTTCCACATGTGCTGGCCAGAACTGGCTCACAATGAAAGGACTTTACAATAAGTGGAGTGGCTGTTAAATACATATAGTGAAATCACAGCCTTCGTTTTAAGCAGTATGAATTTTCCTGGCATCACTCTGTCTTTGTCTAAGCTGGGTTTACTACATGTTTAAGACATTGGAAAACTGGAAAGGTAGAGCTACGTGTCCAGTAAGAAAGTCGTATTTTTAACCTTGGCAGGATATATAAATGGAGAGCTTTCGTGAAAGTTTCGTCTAAGAATACTCTCCTGTGAGTTAAACTTAAGAAATAAAGAGTAATTGACGGGTTGTTTGTTGGTGTTCTGCGCCCTGGAGTTACCGTGTTAAATGGCGACTTTGAGCCGAATACGTCAACGGTTGTCGTTGTCAAAGCAGCTGGACCTCACGCGCCTTGTCACGACACATTTGAGTCGAGGTTACTGATTATCTGGGTTACAATTCACGCCGGAACACCAGATAGACGGCAAAGCTAATACTGTAACTATAGCTCAGACATAGGTCACGTCAAGTGTAAAATAAAGGATGATATGTTCAACTGTGGACTGTAGAGAGTCGACCAAGAGCAAATAGTCATCGTGAATAGTCACATTATGCAACTTAAGCATTAGGAAAGCAGTTAGCCACTTACTGTATTCGTCTTTATGCGTAAGCGGGTAGAAAAATATGGGGTAGAAGGCAGCAGCGATAGCCGTGACAAAGCCACCAAATATTAAAGCTATCTTCTTATTTTTAGACATTTTAACGTCGCATTTACTCGACCACTCTCACCTCCAAATGTTTTCAAAATATTGTTTCCGGTTCAAAGTAGTGATGGGCACGACAGTTCTTTTAGATGAACTGAATCACTCGAATCAATTCACTAAAAAGATTCGTTCACCAAATCACCTTATTATTTAGCGGGAGAAGCCTGGGACCCCGACCTCCTGAACTGATACACAGCAAAACAATTCAGGATTCAGTTCAAAACATAGCTTCTGAGACTGGGAGATGAGAATGTTTGGCTATGTTACTTCGGCAAACAGGTTTGTAAAAATGAACTTGTTTATAAGTCATGATGTTTTAAGTTTACTGTCCTATGGTATGATATTTATCAGGTCTGCTTGGTAAATTGGGGTCAGTGAGTGATTCGTTCATTGAACGCTTAGAAGAATTCAAACTAAACATGCACCGTTCCCTCGCAAACCGCTGCAATAATAGGATGCTGCGGGTTTAATGCACTATGTGTTACATGCTGTGTTCTATTGTATGCATGTTGTTGTGGTGGCAATTTAAGGAGTAAAAAAAAAAAAAGATTTCAGAAACTGTAGTTCAATGGATGATTCGTTCCCCAAGTGATTCAGGCGTTGTTGCATGTGATCCCTCGTTCGCCGGCTGCTGGCCTGGCAATGCTGTTTCTCACTTTAGCTCAACTGCAGTGGAAAAAAGGAGTGATTCGGTTCAGTGCGTTCACTTAAAAGATTCGGTTCTTTTGAACGAATCGTTCGCGAATGACACAACACTAGTTCAAAGGTCGACTGACGAAAGTCGCAAAATGTAAGTTTGGTGCGTCCAGGCTTCTGTAGTCATAAAACTCTAGTCGTCAGAATCACATGCCGCTGCACAACAATAATAAGGAAGTACAGAGAATGATTTGAGAGGGTTTTGAAGGATTCTCATCCATAAAACGGGACAAAAGATGAGATTTTTAGGTGGTCTTGTGGCTTTTCTTTGCTGCTTTTACTCACATGGAGCGACGGGTCAAAATGAAGCAATTAAAACTTTTGTGATCCCACACAGTCACATGGATGTTGGCTGGGTTTACACTATCCAGGTAGGTCTCTTGGGCAAAAATCATAGAAAACTGAACTAAGCTGAAAGGAATGCGGAATGCTTTTAAACATCTCCTCAACATGCCAGTTTAAAGTGGATGAATCATGCGTGTATATTCTGTTTTAAAGTAATAAATGTGTTTTCCACAGGAGAGTATGCACGCCTATGCAGGCAATGTGTACACCACTGTGACAGAAGAGCTGTCAAAAGCACCAGACCGCAGGTTCATCGCCGTGGAGCAAGAATTTTTCAGATTGTGGTGGGAAAATGTGGCCACAGACTCCCATAAGAAACAAGTATGCTTAATAGTCCCAATTCATCTTAAAAAATAAATTAAAACAAAGGTCAAACTCTATGTGACACAAGCCAGGTTGTCATCATTTTAAAGGAAAGTTACATAATCTTCATGACTCTTAAAGTTTAGCCCCAGTGAATAATTAACAAGATGGCCCTGTCATCTTTCTAGGTGCGACGTCTAGTTAAAGAAGGTCGACTTGAGTTCATCCTTGGAGGCCAAGTGATGCACGATGAGGCTGTAACTGATCTAGATGATGAGATATTACAGATGACAGGTACGAAGACACCTTTCAGTTTAAAAATAAAGTCAAAATTTTAGTGTTTTTTTTGTTACGGTTTGTTTCCCTGTGCTGTTTCAGAGGGACACGGCTTCCTCTACGAAACATTTGGAGTGCGACCTCAGTTTTCCTGGCACGTGGACCCATTTGGAGCGTCAGCCACCACACCGATCCTGTTTTCCCTGGCTGGGTTCAACGCCCATCTCATCTCCCGCATAGATTATGACCTCAAAGACAGCATGCAGAAAAACAAGGTTTAATCACCGAGAAACTATGATACAGCTTCAACAAACAAGTCAAATTTTCTTCATAGATATCGTTAAAGCTGCACCAGATGTCCATGTTGTTGATCTCTTTCTTTGATCTAGAAACTGCAATTTGTTTGGAGAGGTTCCCCCTCTTTAAAGGAGAAGCAACAGATCTTCACTCACACCATGGACCAGTTCAGCTATTGCACCCCATCATACCTACCATTCTCCAACAGGTACAGCAACTAAAAGTTTGTAGTCTAGGTGCTCTTCTCCTGAAAATTGGCAGGAGCATGTTTCATGGAGGGTTTTGCTTGTCTCAGTTCCGGTTTCTACTGGAATGGAGTTGCTCTGTTTCCTGATCCCCCCAAAAATGGAATTTACCCCAACATGAGCCTGCCTGTTACCAAGGACACTGTGCATGCATATGCCAAGACTATGGTGGAGAACATCAAGCAGAGGGCGGCATGGTTCAGGACAGACAACGTGCTCTGGCCCTGGGTGAGTAAGGGGAGACATATGAAGCTTTTACTTGATGTCAAATCGATTGTAACCTTGATAAGTATATTTTTCAACTCCTCATCTTCCTCAGGGCTGTGACAAACAGTTCTACAACTCATCTGTGCAGTTCAACAACATGGACCCTCTAATGAAATACATCAACCAGAACAGTAAAGAGTTTGGGGTGACAGTGCAGTACGCCACTTTGAGTGAATACTTCAAAGCTATCTACCAATCAGATCTGGTCTGGGAAGTCCGTGGCAGTGAGGATTTTCTCCCCTATTCCACTGGTGAGACATCCGTAAATGTCAGTGAATCAGTCACCTTGTGAGTAGAGATTACAGTGGTTGTATTTTGCAGAGCCGTACCAGGCGTGGACTGGGTTTTACGCCTCCAGAAACGTCCTGAAAGGAGTGGCACGACAAGCCAGCTCCAAGCTCCATGCGGCTGAGACTCTCTTTACCAGATACAGAATCAGCTTCCCTGATGGACCTGTGGCTGAAGACTGGGCCCTAGATAAACTGAGGGCGCTGCGCTGGGCTGTCTCAGAGGTAACACTTTGAGTAATAAGTGTTTTCAGGAAACAAGCTCTAAAATCTTGTTCAGTTTTAACAGGAAGTGTTATTCATGTGTGTTTTCAGGTTCAGCACCATGACGGCATCACTGGCACAGAGTCCCCCAAAGTGGCCGACATGTACCTGCAGCATCTGACGCAGGCCATGATGGGGGTAGAGGAACTTCTTGCCGCACTCTTCCTGCTGCCCCACAGGCTTGAATTACCCAGCATCCTTGGCAGCCGCTACCACAAAAAAGGTACGAATGATAAGCAAGAGGGCTGTAGTGAACATAGCTTCCTCTAAATCAAGACAGATGTTAACTCAAGCTTGAGGTATCTTGAATGTTTCCCTTGAATGTTTTTAATTCTCTCCCTGGCAGGTGTTCATCAGCCTTTGGAGCAGCACGTCATTGTTTACAACCCGTTAGCGTGGAACATCACCACTATCATCAACCTCACCGCCAACTTCCCATCTGCAGCCGTCTTTGACGATGGTGGAAACCCTGTGCCGGCTCAGGTGGAGCACAGTAGTAAATCTTAAAAAGTAGAACTAGAAAGTGTTAAAGGAATATTCCATCATAAAAGTTAGTTAGGGTCAAACACACCATAACGAGTTAGACCCCCTCTCAAGAGATGAATGTTGCCGACCGCTTGCTTTTCTAGTTATACCAACTTTAGTAACGACCACAGATAGCAATACAGAGAGCCACACACTCAACCAAAATGCCACTTTTCAGCTACAAATAATGGCCAGAACAGCACCTAACTTCATCAACTGTACATATGGGGGGTTGATGGACTCTCTCCGTACAAACAAGTGGCTGCTGGAAGAGAGAAGGTGAGTTGTGTTTAGTCTCTTTGCTAAAGAAATTAGATGAAGCTAAAAAGATATTTGGTGGCTCGTGCTATGGCTGGGACCCTATATGTACTGTTGATGAAGTTAGGTGCTGTTCTGGCCATTATTTGTGGCTAAAGTGTGGCTTTTGGGTTGAGCATGTGGCTCTCTGTATTCCAATCCTGTGGTCGTTACCAAAGTTGGTATAACTAGAGAAGCAAGCAGTGGGCAACATTCATCCCTCGAGGGGGTGTCTAACTCAGTGTTACGTTGTGTTTGACCCTAAATTAATTTTACACCGGAATATCCCTTTAACTGGTCTATTTTAAACACTTAAAATCATGAAAATCTTTGAATTACTCAGCAATATGTGTCCAAAGCTAGCTAACGTTGACTACTTTCTTTACCGTCACAGATTCAGAGGGCAGCATACTCCAATGTGACCTATGACCTCTTAATCTTGGTTGAACTTGGAGGCCTTCAGCACAGGAAATACCTGATAAAGTTCTCGGAGAAGAAATGCTCTGGAAGATCCAAGTGCAGCTGGACGTATGAAGCCAAAGGGGTTCAGTTAAAAAGACAAAATACCGAGGAGTCATCAAGAGCTGGGAGGAGACTCCTGCCTGTCCTGAACGAGTGCTACAAACTCATGTTTGACCAGGATACAAATCTACTGCACAGCATCACTTACCTGTGAGTTAATGTTTACCAAATCTATTTGAATTACTGTGTACATTTATGTAGATATACCTGTTATTGTGCTTATTCTACCTTAAAGCTACTGTGAGAAACTTTCTGTAATAACAAATACATTTCCTTGTCTTTTATAGTCAAGAAAAAATAAAAGTAAAGCTGACCCAGGATTTTTGGGAGTATCACTCTAACGGAGATGTCAAAGCTGGACCTATCTCTGATAACTACATCTTCAGCGCTAATGGCTCAGCTGTGCGAGCGTACAAAGCCGTGGAAATGGAAATCATCCCTGGGAAGATAGTCACTGAAATCAGGCAGTACTTCTTCAGGTTGGTAACCTTAACTTTAGTCTGGTTATGGCGTATTTATAACGGTATCAAGCGTTTTGGCATTAAAACTCAACTGTTCTGTCTTCCAGGGAGAAAAGTGATAAAGACTACGCCTACTCTATCACCACCCATGTCCCAGAATGCTTTGGGATCGGACCACGTTGTCATAGGCTGGAACAGACTTTCTCTCTAGGTCCTCTCAGTCTGAACACAGAGGTCGTACTCAGAACCCGCTCCTCCTTGAAGAACAACAGGACTCTGTACACAGATGACAACGGCTTTCAGATGATGAAGAGGACATACAGGAGATTCATTAATAACACTTTGGCAAGAGTAAGACCTTGAATAAACTGCTGAGATTTCAAAAATTCCTTAAACCAAACTTGTACAACTTTAACTCTTATTTTTTTTAGAACTACTTCCCCATGGTGCGGACTGCTTACATTGAAGACGACCTCAGCAGACTGGTTTTTGTTAGCGACAGAGCTCACGGCGTGTCCAGCCAAGCAAACGGACAGCTAGAGGTAAGAACTAAAAACATAAAACCTTTTTTTAATCACAATAAAAAGTTGTTAACATCCTTTGCTTTCCACTCAGATTATGCTCCATCGCCGACTCTGGAACAACCTACCCTGGAACCTCGGCTACAACCTCACCCTAAATGACAGCTCGGTTGTAAAGCCCACTCTGTGGATGACGCTGGGCTCCATCAGTGCTACATCCAAGTTCTACCAGAGGGAGGCGATAGAGCTGCAGCACAGACCTGTCATCATGCCCATAGACCAGCCACGTAAGTGAGAGTGTACAGTACACCACCATTAGGCAGTTATTCTCTGTAGTTATGAGTCGAGTCAGACAGATGTATGACTTCTAGAGTGTCAAGAGTCTGGCTGTTAAAAGAACTTTTACACTACTCCAGATTCTGATTTTGGGGGGAAAAAAGATGAAGTGTTTACTCTTATTCCTTCAGAGAGGCCCTGGCATGAAAAGGAACCAAAAGAGGGTCTTCCTGTGCGCTCAGTAGTCCTGCCACCCAACCTCCACCTGCTCAGCTTCAGTGTCCCAGGATGGAACTACAGCTCCAACCACAACATTCACCTCAGCCACGTTCAATCAGGTCAGCCCTGTCCTCCCACCTTTACTAGGTAACTGTTGCACCTGAATTTAGAGAAGATTAAAAACAGAATGTTTTTTTGTGTGTTATACACATTCAGGCCAAGACTCACACTCTAAACCAGACTATGACCGTGTCCTGCTGAGAATCATGCATCTCTTTGAGGAGGGGGAAGACCCAGAGCTCTCGAAACCAGTGACTATAAACCTGAAGGTGGTTTTGAAAATATCCAATTCCATTTCTTCATATCAATTTGAAATGTCAATGTTTATTTTTATTAATTTCAATGGAATTTATGTCATTTTTTCCCTACATATATATGGTCATTTCCTGTGTTAATAGGAAGTTCTGCAGGGCATAGGGGAAGTAAAAGTGCTGGAGGAGCGTTCTCTAACAGGAACCTGGGATATTAACAGTCTGCAGAGGTGGAAGTGGAACACTACAGATAACTTAGACACAAGTAAGGATGACTTGCAGGAATTTGAACAAAAATGATGCTATTTGATGCATTGTTATTGGAATATTATTTAAAAAACTCCTCTTTTGTTTTCTCTCTCTCAGACAGCAGATGGTGTTTGAGTTGTGGAGCTGCAGATTTCACTGTCACCATCTCATCCAAAGAAATCAGAACCTTTTTTGTTCACTTTGTCTCCAGGAACCATTAGGCCCTAATGACTTTTTGTCTTCTGTGAAGATCGCCAATCTTAAGACACAAACTGCCAATGCTTTTAAAGAGTTTACCCTTTGCTACACTGCTAATCAATGCTATATTTGCACATGTTGTTAATAAAGGAGTACTGATGTGTTGATTGATTGTGAGAATTCTCACTTTGGTATTTTTTAAGTCTGCAAATCCCACTTTTCCTATCTGGATAAAGGGTTTCGGAGCAGGGCAGATCTCTGGCCCAGAACATATCTTAAAGTTTACCCAGATAACTGTTAGAAAAGAGACCTACAAATGGCTTCGGCATTTTAGCTCTTGTCTGGTCTACCACCGTTTTAAGCGCCCGTTATTCCGCCACAGTCTCTGGTACTTAGTTCGTTTTCTTGCTTGTGTTGGCAGTCGTGGCCAAAGGAGGATTCAGAAAAATTTCCGTACTTTCTGGTTGGTTTCTACTGCCCGATAATGTAACACGCTAATTTGTTTGGGCTCGTGCACGTTATTCGATGACGTAGAACGTGCCTCACAACACGAGGGAGCGGCGTCTGCCTCACAACCAATCAGGTTAGGGAGGTGGTTCATGGCTTTGTTTACAGTCAGAATGAGCAGACCGCTAAAAATTTTAAAATGTCGACTACACAGACATAACAAAACACAACGATATCGTGATATTCCAAAATGTCACCAATAACTGATAGCTATTGACTGACATTAAAAGCTTTTTTTGTATATACACCACAAAAAAGATGCGATTCCTGCCTACCCCACCTTAAACACTTTTAGCATTCGCCTGGTTAAGCTAACTGGCTCCCTAGCTTAGTTTGTTCTGTAGCTTATCCTTCCCCAGAGAAAATCTACAGAGTTTCTGAGAAAGAAGGGCAGTTGTTTAGTACGGTGGCCGAGAACTGCCACTGCTCCAAATAATAAAAGAATGCAAAAACAAGACGTCACAACGGGAGTTAACAACGCATTAAAAAAAAAAAAAAAAGTTACTTACTGCGAAATTGAAAGGATGCAAAAAAAAAAAAAAAGCCATAATGGAAGTGAACTGCCGGGGACCAATAATGATGGTGCACCAGTGTTTTACGATCGAGAAGACAAGCAAAGAAGTGAGGGTAAAGGTTATTGTTTAATTTCGCTTCATATCAAGCTAACTCTACATAGCTAACGCTACAACGGCATCCTCCAGTTCAACTTCATATCGACTCAGGCGCAACGTGGCGAAATTAAACCATAACTTTTTCACTTACTTCTATGCTCGTCTTCTCGCCGTTGTCTTCTTCTCGTAAAACACCAGTGCATCATCATTATTGGTCCTCGGCAGCACACTTCTGTTATAGCTTTTTTTTTTTTTTTTTTTGCGTTGCCACTTTTTTTGTGTTGTTAACTTCTGTTGTGGCAATTTTTTTTTCTTTATCTGCACCGTTTCTTTTTTTTATTTGCAGCAGTGGCGGTTCTGGGCCACCTCAGCTTAGCCCAAAAAGACAAAATATAGACAGTTGACATATTTTGGCAGGATTTGCCCTATGTTTTCGTGGTACTGGAGCTTTATGACCACCACAAAGTGTCAGAGGCAACTTGTTGTCACATAACGTCTTTCGATGTAGTCCGTCAAAATAACCACTAGACAGCGCCAGAAACCAACCCTCTTTATGCTGCAACAGACAGGGATCATCTGAAAGACAACACCCGTGGAGGACAAAACCTCAGTCATCACCGCACCAACTGACTGGATGAAGAAGATTTATCATGTACTTCGATGTAAAGCTGTAACGTTCATGTTGTAGGACGCCATGTTTGCTTGTAGAGGAGGCTACTTCAAATTAGCTGAAAATGTGCAGTGTGAGTTTTTCCCTTCATGTTATGGTCTTTAACCACCTGCTAGGTTTTCATTTTTGATCGAAAACAAACAGCTTTCGATATTTATGTCTTTCTCTTTATGAAATGTGTCATTTTGGGTCTATATTGTCCATATTTCGCGTCTTTTTTTGCCACTGAATAAAGCCTTTGTTGTCAGTACGGGGTGCAGTATGCTAGGAGGGGGGCGTTATACGTGTTGCTAGGATACTGGGAGGGTGCTGATGGTGTTGGCGAGATTTAACGTTGATGCTAATCTTGCTTTTTAAAATGGAGGTGTTTTCTCATTTATAGAAAAGAGAGAGGGAGCAGAGGAGGAAACTGCAGCACTTCCTCAACGACTTGGCACTTCTGGGATCATTACAGGTCAGTGAACGCACCATCAGGAAAAACAAAGCTAACCTGGTGGAACTATCTCCTGAGTAAAAATGTTGTTCCTGTTTCAGGGCTTCAAGTACTTCCAGCCTTGGCTTAGGGGGAAAGAGGAGTTGCTGCTGACTGTTGTTAATGAAGATTTGGTAGGTTGAGAGTGATGGATACAAAGCTAGAGGTTACAACAGTGATAAAAATGTCAACATTTCCCTCTCTACAGGGTTGGCGCTCCCCAGGTTTTGTGGTGTCCAGAGCCTCCTCCTACACCTCCACCAGCAGCTGTAACAGCAGCGATGTCTCCCCCAGCAGCAGCTCTCCCAGCCTGGACAGCCGGTGTAGCTCTCCTCTACCTGGGGAGCCTGCTGGCCCTCGAGACCCCCACACACACAAGCAAACCAAAGTGCAACCACAAACTGCGAGGTAGTTTCTGCTTTTGACATGCTGAAGATGTAAATGTTTTTGTTTTCTTAATTTTCCCATCATAGTGTGTTTTTTGCAGACTGAGAACACTTAAACACATCATTTAACCTGTTTTTGTGTTCTCTTGGACCCCATCAGCGAGGATCATCTACTCCCTGCCTCCCCCAGCGAAAGAGAGATAGCAGTGCCTGTAAGTACTTAGCCCCGTTTTCCAAAACAAGAAGAAGAAAAACAACAAAAAAGTATAAAAACAGCTCTAACCCTGACTCTGCCACCACAGGAGGTGAACTGCACTCTTTTTTTACTGGCTGGCTACGTCAAATATGGCCGGCCCTACGCCTGGATCCGCTCCAACCACGAGCGCCTGGTCAACATCGGAGGCACCGACTCGCTGGTTAAAGACACGCCCATGAAACTCAAGTCCATCGCAGACTGGCAGACACGAGGTACGGAAACAATGTGAGGAATCCAAACAGGAGAAAGTTATTGTTTCACTGCACAGATTCAATAATTACCCCACTTTCCATGAGCTAAATGAGATGCAGATGCTGGAGCTGAACTTCTGTTTGAAGTGGATCAGGCTTGTGGAAAAAGCTCCAGGTGTTTATATTACGAACTGTACCTTAGAGTACTTGGCTCCGACAAATATTTCACACAGTTTTGTGGGTTTTTTTCCTCTTCTTTCCTGGTTGTTTTTCTCAGGTATTCGTGTTTGGGATGTGGTCAGTGAGCTGGTTTGCCTGTGCACTGTTCCCTCTCCCTCTAACCCCTTCGCCCTGGACATGCGCTACATCAAAAACCTTCCCCTTCCCGACCGCTTCCTGGTCACAGGAGCTCTGATGAACTTCCTGGAGATGTACGTTGTGTACGGGAATCGGGATGAGATGCACTATGACAAAGGTTGGATTCATGAAAAACAAAATGATCTTTTTTTACTTATAGGTTCTTTTTGTAGCCAGTAGGTGGTGCTGTTTAGCTACATTAAAGACAGAGGACGAACAGCCTGCCTCCTGCTTTAGGCTTGGATTTAACTGTATGAATAATTGTATTTTGTCGTTTCTTGTAATCTATTAGTGACTGAGGAGGTGAAGCCTCTGAGGCGTCTTCATGTCCAGTCCCTGATGGAGCTGCAGCGAGACAAAGAGAGCGCAGGATCCGCCAGCAGCAGCACTGCAGCACAGGACTCCTCATAAAAACGTACAAAGATGTGGTCAAATCTGTGCATTTCCACTAACTTTGTGTAGACATGAGATAAGAAACAGGTTGTAAACATGTAAAATTGTGTAAACATGCAAAAAAATCAGTGCTAAACTTCCTTATTGGTGCTTTATCTGTGTAATTATGGGTAGTCACATGTATTTGAGTGTTTAAAAATGTGAAAACTGTGGAGAAATAACCCTGGGAAACAAGTCACATGACTCAGATTAGGCATCCCAGGACCTCTCTGAATGTCTCTTGCCCTGCCACCCTTGAATCGTTCAATCCTGCTCTCCCACACACAAACACACACACACTCTTAAAGACAGGAATTCTGTTTTCTTCAGGCCAAATATAAAAGTCTGGAATCATTCACGGGGGTCAAAGCTGCACAAGTTAAAGCCTGTTAACTATTTGTCTTCTCGAACGTCACAGCCGTGCAAAAACAAAATATTTTGGACACGTAAAAATGTTGTATAAAAAAGTTTTAATACTTCATAAAATACATATTTAAATATGTACAAGGACATAAAACAGCACATTTATAAAACACGCTTTAAGCAGGCACTTTTGACCCCCTTCTGTGAGAGGTTGTGCCGTTTGTAGTTTAAAAAGATACATAAAAAATGTTAAGACTGGGTATAAAAACCAAGTGGCACTTCAGTCAAAATCATCTCTCCGTATAAAAATAAAAAAATATATTTCTCTAACTTGGTTTGGATCAGAAACTTCAGCTAATCCTCAACTCTCTTATAAAATAGAGTCCACCATCAGGAGGACATGTTATGCAATCCGGGTTAGGCCCCAGTTAGGGCACCTATAATGGCTTTGATTATGTGAGCAAGTAAAGGGCAAAGAGCTAAAAGCATTAATTGACTCGGCTGATAAATATTCAAAGTCATGGTCGGACATGGAGAAGAATCCGGGGCTTCTTGAGAGAATTTGACGTCTCGAATTTCCCCCCGTGATTGGAATGCAGGTGCATGGCCGTGCATTCCTCACAGAGGCTCCACATTAGGAACACAGCGTTCCCAGTGTTCGGACGCAAACAAACCCCGCGAGTCATGGCCGGGTGTGTTTTTTCCACCTAAATGCTAATAATTCATGGCGGAGGATAGTCAGGATCTGTGTCTTTCTGCTTGAGATGAGGGTTTCATTCAGCTGACTGAATAAAGAAATGCTGGATTCCTTATCTTGGGGTTCAGATTTGACCCTAAAAATATCAACTGCTTCATTTGCATCTCAGAAGAGTTTAACTTAATACTCTTGCGCCATTACTCTGAAGCATTTCTGTGTAATCTCGGCCCAGAAATCTCTCTACATTCATTAAAAATAAAAAGAGAAAGATGCTTCCTTGTGCCACAGGGTTGAAAATAAAACAATAACCTGTCACAAATGAAAGTTAAACTAAAGTCAGCCTTTCAAAGGAAAAATAAAGACTCTTGTCATTTGTTTCCAGTTTTTGGTTCAGCTTCAAGATGTCAGTTAATACGTCTCTTTCCAGGAGAACGAAAAAACCCTTTTGAGGGCTGAAGTATCAAACAGAATACCTACAATGTTGATGAGTCAACCAAAAAACATTTAAAAGGAGTGAATCTGTCTGCTCCTTAAACAGCTAGCAGCTGGACACGAGTCCTCAAGTAGCTTCTGACAGGTAGACGAAGTCGGCAGCATTTTCTGAACTTTGCTGCATCACAGAACCTTCAAGTCCATACGCTCACTGATCACGGACCATCCACTCACAAGCTGAGTCCATATAATACGTCCAAATAAGGATTCGACCCAATCCCCCTTTGTCGTTCCCTCTGTCCTGTAAGGCTTCCCACCCTCTCGTCAGTGCTGTCGTCCTCGAGGTTGTAGTCAGGTTAAAGTAGTCCCCGTGTTTTCAGGGTGAAGGTTGGGGGTTCAGTTCCAGCTGTCCGAGCCAGATCCTCGCCTGCTGATAGCCCTGAGGGGGCTGCGGGACACGGAGCCTCTTTTCCTCCAGCGAACTGAGAAGAGAGGAGAAAGAATTGATGAGTCACAGAGTCGGTAAGCGCTTATGTTTGAATGTGAATCTTGAATTTTCAACTAGTCCAGTGTTTTTTCCACGACAAAGACGTGACATTGATGAGCTAAACATAAGTCTTAGATGACTAAAATGTGATGAGACGAATGTGCGTTTATGTTGACGAGACCAGACGAAAACATTAGTGGTGGACGACGAACAGAGTTGCAAAATTCATGAGCATTTCGTCAGTCAAACGCTTAACATGTATTCTGCAGTGTTGTTTTCGTTGACGATGACATTGACGAAATATTTTCTTTAACGTCATTGTCAACGAAAACAACACTGAACTAGCCTCCATAGTTTGTCCTTTTTGTAAAAGACCATAGACTGAATATAGAATGGACGCAATCTGCCTCCTCGCTAGGTGAAGCCACTCTGAGAACAGCACCCTCTGGTGACGGGCTTCAGTATAGGTCATAGGTTTCAAAAGTTTTTAGGGGGTTCATGTTTTCAATGATTGAATCTTGATACAGCCAATGGGTGTACAAGGATTGCGTAGCTCACCCGGGGGATACGCTGTTTTAGCTGAGGGTCATCACAGCGACTCTCCCGCTGAATGCGTACAACGCTACTGCGCAATGTTGGTTTCAGGAAATGGAGAACAAACGCGGAAATACAGAGAGATTTTCGTCTACAAATCCGTATACTGGCGGAAGGCGGAACCAAGTTGTCCATAGTATATACAGTCTATGTAAAAGACGTTAATGAAAAAGTGAAAAACAGCGCTTCAATTCTCTTCATAAACAGCTGCTACTGGACTCCTACAGGTTAAAGCTAGCTAGGAGCAGTGTTGTTTTTATTGATGATGACGTTGACGAACTAAACACAAGTCTTAGATGACTAAAATGTGGCGAGACGAATGTGCGTTTACGTTGACGAGATGAGACAAGACGAAAACGTTAGTGGTGGACGATGTACAGAGTTGACGTTAATGATGACGTTGACAAAATATTTTCGCCAATGTCATCGTCAACGAAAACAACACTGGCTAGGAGGCCAAGATTATGGGCCGAATTTGGACTATACATCAACTGTTAATGATAGTTTGAAAAATCACAGTGTTCAAGTAACGACCTGACCGTCTCTCTGCCTCACCTTTGCCCAGACTGGCTGGAAGTGTGGAGCTCTTGTTGTTGACCGGAGAGTTGGACGACTCGTCTACTCGTTTCCCCTTCACATCTCCGTGCTGCAGTGTTGCAGAGCCGTCCTGCCAGTCGCTCAGCGCCCGTTGGAATGAATCCGCCAGGCACGCCGTCATGTCCCGCGCCCTCTCCGCCCGGCTGCACCAGAACACCCGACACTGCAGCTGCTGCCCCTGATGTTTGCAGATGTAGAGGAAGACGTTGGGCCTGTTGGCGTCCGCTGCGCAATAAGCTATGTCCTGCAGGTATGTCTTTGTTAGTTGTCTCCCTGTGCTTAGCTCCTTGACTTCTACGTATCTTGGTCGCACCACCAGAGCGTGATCTTTGCTTAGCTTTTTCCCGTTGGCAATACCATCTAGGAGGTGGCTGATAGCATCCTGCGCCTGCTCCCGGTCCAGAGAGAAGATTTTCTCTGTGCCGAGGTAATGCACTTTGAAAAGAGGGTCCCCATGAGACAAAGACTCTGTGCGGTCGCGGCGAAAGCGGCGACGTAGCGCAGCAGGAGAGTTCTTGAGGGTTTGCATTAGGTGGAAAGTTGTGAGAGACATGGTGCGTTTCGGGGTAGGTTTGGAGGAAATCTTGGCGGAGGTGTATCTCTCGTTGGTCGGCTGATCCTCTTTAGAGCCTCTGCCGCTCTTCCACCTTTCTTCTATAAATGGAGCGTAGTTGCATCCACGGCTTTTATCTGGAATGAGGCAGAAAGAGACATTGACGTTAGAGAGATCCGTCTTAGAAGACGCATGAATAATTGAGCGGGACAGTTTACTAAACTTTACTCAAAGTACGCCAAGGCTGAACTGACCCTTTTGACACCGAGGACTTTTTATGGCGTGAAGCAACTCTTCATTTGTTGCAATTTTGTTGCAATCTAATGATTTCAACTTCTCACAAAGCATGCAGTCGGGACAGGTTGTTCTGCAGCGTGGAAAGCAAAAAGGCCACCTAACAGGATCGGTTACAAATGTGACGCACTGAGAGAAGAATAAAAATCCAGCTCAGACACCTCCTATTAAATATTTACAGTCTAGTTTGACTCAGAGCCAAAAACAGATGGACACAAAAAACACATGGATGAACTGGAACACGACCAAAGAACATGAAATGTTGTGGTAACACAGAAACAATCACAGGTACATCCTTTTAACATCTTACTATTAGCTAATACGGACTTAAAAGGGCCTCCTTGACCTTGCGAATTTAAGTCTTATGCAACCACATCTGGTCCCCCATTGTCTCCCATCCTACAAACCCACATAACCGCCTGTTCTCCATTGTGTTCAATGTTATTTTTCCCCCCCTTTCCCTTTTCTTGGCCATTCTTTCGACATCCTAGCTAAGACCTCAGATGTGAGATGCAGAGAGAACCACCGACTGTTCGGAGATGTGAGCCATTGTTGTGGACCCCCCTGCGCAGGAAACAGCTTTGCATTCCCTGCTAAATATTTCTCCCACAAAACAATAGCATGCTTCTGAGAGTGTGTCACATCACAGAGGGGATGCGAGTTGACCCAGAGCCTGGACTTAAACAGGGACATGGACACGTACAGCTACACGTGTGTGGGTTGCAAAAGTGCATGAGTGCTGACATGGATGCAGCTTTCACTTAAGACTCATCCACAGATAATGCAGAATGAAGGCAGCAATACAAAACTGGTTCACCTTGTGACTGGATATGACACCAAGACAAACAACCAAACAGCTACAGTACAAATTTTGCGGTCGTGTAAGTTCTCATGTACATAAAGTGTTTTGAGATGAACAAACAACCATTCATCAGTGTTCGGTCACATGCAGAGGTGTCAAATCCAAACACTGTATCCCTGTGTCACCTATGAGAAGATCATTTCTGCACGTACGAACCCTGACTTCTTGATCTGCAAGAGAACTTAATTTTCGTCCCAAACATCACATGGTTTATAAGAAATGCAGCACAGAAGATAAGGGCTCAAGAGTTCTGTTAAGCACCACTTTCAGTTTCACCAAAACACAACTTTTTAGATGAAATATTCACACTCTCCTGATCTACAGAACAAGTGATGGTACAATGGCAAACCTTTATTAAGTTACTTTCATATCCACCAAATGCCATTCACCAAAACACAACTTTTTAGATGAAGTATTCGCACTCTCCTAATCTATAGAACAAGTGATGGTACAATGGCAAACCTTTATTAAGTTACTTTTAGATCCTATATTTACAATTACTTCGAGCCGGATTAGTCAGCTAATTGTATAGATCACTTTAGGATCCAAATGAATGCTGTGCGTCAAACATTTGTCGAAAAAAGAGCGAGAAATTTAAAATTAAAAGATTTTCTAGTGAGGTTCGGCAAGTCCCGAAGCGTCAACATTGACTCTACACCTCAGGCAAAAACAACTGCCACACAATTAAAATTAACAAACATCTGTCAGCAGAAGAGTCTCTCTTTTTTTACATTTAATTTCAGTTTTTTTTTTTTTATATGTTAGCTCTTTAGAAGTGGTCTTACCTGGCCACAGTTTCATGCAAACGATGTCCTCGTGCGGCGAAGGTGAACAGGAGCTCTGGGATGTTTGAAGCTCGCGGCGCAGGTGGAAGTTTGAACCTCTGCACTAAACCGTTTTGGCTTCTTCTTCTCGCTGTAAAATCTCATATAAAGGTTCTTTCTCGGCGCCTCCGTGAGCTCAGTGATCCCTCATGCGCAGACAAACGACAGTGAGACGCTCCCAGCTCGAGACGGTTTACGTACGGGGCTGATTCACGCGCTCCCTTCCCTACTCTTTGTGAATGATTCAGAAGGCTCGTGGGATGACCGTTTTAAACAGCGTAGGCGCGAGCTCGTCACACGCGGACGAGCGCCTGCGTCTGGGCTGAGAGGAGGTTGGTCCGCGTGGGAGCAGAGGGGGGTCTGAGGGGGAAAGTGGTGATGATGATGATTTACAAAAGGTGACAGAAATACGATTCATGACAGGAGCGATAACGATTAACTCAGCTTTTTTCTTTCCTGGAATCACAGTTTAAAGGCAAATTTACAGCCTACGTCGTTTGTGTACATATTTACAGACATGTTAAGCCCTTTTATCATAGTTTGTGCTGGTTTATCTGCTCCAGTAGCTTTACATTTACAGTCTTTTCAACTACTGCTACTTGTGAAAGCTAACATGAGCTCTACATGGAGTAAAAAATGTAGATTTTTATGGTGTTTGAGTTTACATTGAAACTCAAACAAGCTAAAGAAATGAATGTTTTCTGATGGCACACCATTAAAGGGGCATTTTTAGTCCTTTTGAAAAGTAGTGTCAATATTTAATTTTCTATTGTTTGTTTGATAAGTATTTTTTTTTAACTTTTGTTCATTTTATTTTAATTTTACTTGATTTTTTAAATTTATTTTATGTAGATTTTTTAATATTTTATCTTTTAAATTTATTTTTTGAATAATTTAATTTTAATTTTTTGAATAATTTAATTTTAATTTTTTGAATAATTTATTTCTGTTTTATTTTATTTATTTATTTTTTATTCAGTTTATTATATTTTACTTGATTTTTAAAATTTATTTAATGTAGATTTTTAAATATTTTATCTTTGAACTTTTAAATATTTTTTATTTTTTATCTTTTTTATTGATTAAATTTGGTTACTTTTGTTCATTTTATTTTATTTTACTTCTTTATTTATTGATTTTAGGTAAAATTTTTGAATATCTTTTCTCCGAAATGTATTTATTTTTTAAATTCTTTATATTTTTTTCTGTTTTATTTTATTTATTTCTGTTTTATTCATTTTTTTATATTTTACTTAATTTTTGTATTTATTTAATGTAGTTTTTAAATATTTTTATTTTTCAGTTTTTTTAATTTTTATTTATTTTGATATTATATATATTCTATTTCCATTTCATGTTATTTATTTCTATTTTGCTTTTTTTATTATTGTATGTAATATTTTTTATTTATTTTATGTAAATTTTTAAATATTTTATCTTTAAATTTTTTTATTTACATTTATTTTGATTCAATAATATTTTATTTCCGTTTTTTTTTTCTTCTATTTACTCATTTTATTTTATTTTATTTTATCCATATTAGATCTTCATACTATCAAACAACAAATCAGCAAAAAAAAATTGGTATTTTTGGAAACTTTGACATTTGCATTTATTCACTTTTTTTTTTTTGATGGAGCAAAACAATAAAGACTCCTTCATCATCAATAATCAGTTTTTTTTTTCATTAATCCATTAAAAAATCGGAGAGTTCTAATAGTTTTCTGTCAAAAATGTAACTGAAGATCAACCTTAATTCAAATACCTGCTTAAGAGGTTTGCAGTTTAATGTAATATTTTTTGTTAACATGGCTAAGAAAACAATGTCGGCTTTTGTGACCATGTTTTCAAGCCGTCATTATTTTACACGCCGACGACACTAAGCTCTAAAGCCAAGAGTTTCACATTACTTTGTTTTTCTTTTTCACTCTTTCACAAGAACACAAGGCTGAAGGAAAACATCTGAAACCCACTACCTTTCATTACCTCTACATTGCGTCACAACCTGCCTCTAATGGGGATCGCTGGCCTCTCTGGTCCAGATCTGCTCTAACTGTTTATTCTGGGGGCATTTTGAACAGTGGCAGAGGGAAAAGCTTAAACGGTACCATGTGTGTATGCGTCTCTGCATCTGTAGCCCATGTATGTGAGTGTGTGTAGCTGGGTGTGCCTGACATGGAGAAACAGTAGGGCCCCTGTTTTCTCCTGGGTTTGGCCCAACAACAGTTAAGTTCTTGAACGTCACACTGGCCTCGGTTCCTCGCAGGACACACTGGAACTATTCTAGGGGCACCGGTGACATAATGGAGCATCTCAGACAGGCACACACCCTCTCTACGTACATCTTAACAGGCAGAAACAGAGTCAGCAGCCAAACTGGGGTAAGGGCAGGAGTGCAGCTGGGGTTTTTGGGCATGTAGGAGCATGTTATGGTGCATTGCTTTCAAGGTATGGACGATTTGGTGCTCCCATCAAGTGAGCCATTCAGATAATGCAAATGTAGAATGATACCTCAAACGGCCCACTTTGAGACAACACAAACACGAATGAACTTTGCATCAATGTCCACGATATCTCAGGATTGCTTTGAGGGAATCTCCTCAAATTTGGCCCAAATGTCCGATAATGGATAAGGACAAAGTGCTGAGAGTTTGGTGGAGACAGATCGTAAGTCAAGGATGCTATTGCCATGAATCAACAAGTTGGTTTGCGAAAGTTACCCAGTGTCTAATCAGATTACATAACAAAGCTAAAAAGTTGATCCTTGTCATATCTTTTAAATATGAGATACCATAAGAAAAGTCTTCCTGTAGACCCACAATTAGCCAAAAGACATTATCAAGTGTGGGTGTGCCCCCATTACAGACACACCCAATTGTTCAGAAACTAATGGGTAACCACTAATTTACTGCTTTGACTGCTACTTGCGAGTGAAACCGCAAACCTCCTGGGAGACTGTCAATGTGGGAAAGAAAGAGTGACTACAGGTTCAGGTCAATTCAAGCTGTTCAAGAAAGGACATTGTTTCACTTCAGGACAAAAAAGCCCCTTTAATGGTCAAAGTCAAAACATTTCACAGCTAAGCCGGGAGGAAATTCAGGGATTTTGGGGGACAAAATCACAGTGTACCTTAAACAAGACGAGAGCTTGTTGCTTGAAAAGAAAAAATGAGGCTTTTGTTGTTGGATTAGATTTTAATTTGGAAGGTTATTACAACTCTTGTGAACCAGAGAGTCCTAAAGAGGCTTTATTCCACGAAGTAGGTTTACTGAGTTTGCTTCTCGAAAGCCATCAGATTAAAAGGGTTGTGACCTTTTTTTTTCTCTCAAACATTTGTATTGTGGGAAAAAAGGTGAAAAACAGAGAATTTAGGAAGTGAACTGACACCATATTGAGTTGCCACCCATTTGTTACAGCAATCTCCCATGCCCAGTTCCCTTTTTGTCAACTGCTGCAAATCAAACCGGCTGATCTGCAGAGGTTACTCTTGTCAACAATCAAAGTAACATTCCAGTTTGCTATCTGCGAGCCCTCAGCACATTACAATCTGTCCCTGGCACTATTACAAAATGTGCTATAAAGAGGATGCCATGAACTTTTACCTGCATGTGTTAATGGGCAGAACGATCAGTCAGTCAGTGGTTGGTTGGTTGTGACACGAATAGGCCAGGACAAACTTCTCAGGAACTGAATTGTCATTGATGGTCCCCAGAGGATGAAACCTCCTGGCTTAACCTTTCTCTAAAATATGATACTGACAGTCGTTTTCATTATTGGATGAATGTTGTTTGCTTTCCCTTTACCTCTTTTTCAGCGCCATCCAAAATTTGCATATTTGACATGTTTAATTTTTCGGTAAGTTGCATAAATCGCCATTTTGTCACATATAATAAAACATATCACTCAACTTCCAAAGTTTGAAGGTCCTTACACACTGGGAGCATTTTTTTCCTGTGATTATTTCGGATGTCAATATTTTTTTCCGAACCCGTATCCTGTCAATACAAGCGTATAGTCAGGCTCGTCAAAATTTGCCTCCGAATATTTCGTAATTTCACGTTCTATATTTGCGTCGGCCCCGGTGTGTGAGGACCTTTAGAGTCCTGTAAAGTTTTCCTGTTTAAAAATCCTGTTAGAAGTTTTTTTTTGTAATTTTGTCAATAGACTAAAATTCACATTTGTGCCTTTGTATGATATCCAAAAGCAAACAAGACCGTCAGCGACATGATTGGTGATTCTTCTTTTTGTCATTTTTAATCTGTGGTATGGTTGTACAATCATTTCAATAGAACTGCTGAACACGAACTTCCTGTTTGTGTCAATTTTGGCGCCCCCTCTGGACAAGGCGGCACATTTTTGCCATACCTTCCAACATTTGGGTTTCGACTATGGTGTAGGGAAACTGTGGGGGGGAGACCAGGTTGCCCTGATTGGATAAGTCATAAAGGTTCTTGTACACAATAAAGAAATACTTTTTTTATGTGGTTGTTGAGTTGTAAGGGGCTTCCTCACTTATTACAAAGAGTGTTTTTTGACCACAACTCTTACCATGCTGTCTTTTAAAAGTGACAAATTTCACTCACTAGACGAAAAAAAGTCATTTTTCTACAGTGTGCTATCTATTTCATCTATTTGACACCTTACCCCCCTCGTTGTCGTGGTTACAGGCATCCAAAATACTTATCCGGAGGTGTCAGTTTGGTTATTGATAGTCTGTTTTGCTCTTGTAAGTCATGAAGAAGCATGTCATGTTGTTTCCAACCTGTTACATAACCAGTCGAAAAACTTCTGAGAGGTGCTTTAAATTGAATTTTAACCTTTTAACTTTGTGTAATTATGATCTGTATTCAAATGTAAAGTCAGGTCTATTGTCCTGAGGCTCCTTTAGTTTTAAGATTTTAACACATTTTAACAAAACCCCTGAACATAGTTGAACATTTTTGTCATTCCAGTAAAAACTATTAAATTTCTGCTTCTACGTTTGTTTACCTGCTCACCACACACACTCTTCAGGTTACCGACTTAACCCACATGAGGAAGTTTGATGAGGCGTGGAGATATGAAAACAGGACTAGCCACTAGATTTATGTGTCACTGTATACTCTTCAGGTATTTACCTCGATGACAGGCGTGTTAAACTGTCGTCCAAATCAGTTCACATAATCGCTGCAAATGCGCGTTTGCATAACCTCGCCTGTCAATCTTCAGATGGTATTTGTTATGGTTGTAAGCGTAACTGTTGTT